AAAAACACATGCAAAAATCAGCTTTATATTCAAGCCTATTCCATACACTTTTCATACTACTAGAATCGTATCAGAGTATAGGAATTAGATACCCTTTCAAATTTCAAACATATATATCTAGCTCATGCAAATTCTCTCCAACACTTTTTTCTCAAGAGTATTTAATTCCTATGCTCTGATACCATTCTAGCAATATGCAAAGTGTATGGAATAGGCTTGAATATAAAGCTGGTTTTTGCATGTGTTTCTGCACAAGGATAAAGAGTGTTGTAACTCATCTAAAAGGACTTTCTATTGTCTGAGGAAAAGTACATGGAAATTAATGTAGCTATTGCCAAACCCATGGTCTCAAAATTATTAAGTAAATTATATGCATCCAATGTGCCGTAGCACTTTCCCATTTTCCATCGTTATAACGAGCCCAATGCATCACTCCTACAATCTGTCACTCGTCACTTACAGTAAGTAGCCCATGTTAAATCCAGAAAAGTTTGCTCTCTCTCTCGGCCAAACCCAAAAGTGAGGAAAAGTACATCGAGATGTAGGTGTTGTTGAACCCTCGTAATTAGTTCACTCTCTCAGCTAAAACAACTTGTCTCTCTTAATTAGCTAAAAGCGACACGCCGAAACCTTTCTTCCCTAGATAATTACCCAGAGTGAGGAAAAGCAAGTCGTCTTTATTAATTAAGCCGGGTATGTGTGTAGGTTCTGCAAATGAACAACGAAGAAGAAGACTGTTCTATTTTATAAAATGACTTGACTAAAATAATGTCATTTTAAACTAAATTATTAAAAAAAAAATTAAAAGCAAGTCTTCTTTACAAAGCCATGTGAGGGAGCACTACACCATGGTAGATTGCAATCCATTACAAATACTGTCTGGTTAAGATTCAAAACATGGTAAAATATCTCAGTTTCTGCCATGAACAATTTATGTTATCCAATGTAATGTAACTATAAATTGTTTCCGCGATACACTGAGATTTAATATCATACGTTATAATCACCAAATTTACACATTTACTACAATATAATAATTACAAATAAACAAACCGAAAAAGAAATCAATATGATAATTGGGAAAAACTAATAGAAGGCTCTATGTTAATCAAAATTTTATGAAATTACATTAAGATCCTTCACACTTCACTTTAATTTAAGTAGATTACGATTATAAGTAAATATGCAAAACATAAAATATGAAGAAAAAAAATGTAAAATGAGGGAAACTGCATGTCTCTGCCACTATCATCAAATAATATGTTATTAATATAAAATAAGTACATTAATAATAATTACTCTATTATACTATATCTTATGATTTATCAAATTTAATTTAATTTTTTTTATCTCTCTAACAATTATCCTATCATCAAATACATAACTACACGTGGAACTCACGTATTTTGCAATCCACACTAAAAAGCTGCTTCCATAGTTTTATAATATTTAATGTCTTTTCAAACTCAATTTGCAATGGGCCGGTGTTACCAACCCCGTACGTCTGTGTATACTATTATTTCAAAAACACGTGTTATCGTCTGGGTGGATTAATTAACGCCATTTGTCAAAATTTAATTAGATTAGGATGTAGACCTAACCTTAACCTAACATTGTACTTTTTCCTTGTTTGTACTTGAAGTTAATCCGCAAGTTTCAGTTTGTGAAGGAGGATCCTCGCTTGGATTTTCTTTTCCGGACCGCTTTTCTGTCCTCCTAGTTCTCATACATTATCATTTCTTCTTATTTATGTAGTTACAGTTAAGTTACATTATATTTTATATCATTATTATTTTTTATTTTATTATCTTTATAAAAAAATCAATATAAAATATTGATGTGGCTTAACCGTGATCGTACAAAATAAGAGGGGATAAGAGTGTATGGAAACTGGGAGGGCAGAGAAGCTAGGTCCTTCTTTTCTACCCCATAATGTTGTAAAAAATTAATGAGATTAGGACCTAGACCTAACCTTGTATTTTGTGAGGATTCCGATAATTTTCAAATCACATTCGTTTATGTACATTATACAGTCGGAAATTATTGTAAATTTTTTTATTTAAAATTGAATATAAACAATAACTAACATAAACTAACTACACAATACACAATGAACGAATAACAAAAGTAGAATTATCTAAATGTTACATGAAATTGTAGCCACTTGAGTACATCAATGGATGAGCTTCTTTTTATACGTCTTACAAAATACAAACTGAGAGAGAAGATTCTAGTCGGATTATTTTTATGAGTATTTTGAAAATGCTCAATTCACAAATCTTTATCGTACACAGAAATTATAAATTTTTTATTTAAAATTAGTTTTATGCTTTGTTAGATCTATGCATGCCGCCATTGCGATCTCTGATTGCAGCACAAAGGAGACACATACCCAGCACAAAAGGAGGGGCCAAGCGTTTCCAAAAAAAATAATAATAATAAAAAGGAGGGGCCAAGCATGCTGCCACGGCGACCTCTGATTGGAGATCGGCTTCTCCAGTCAACATAGCCTTCCCAACTGGTGCTGAGCTACTGACAACTGTTCTTGCTCCAACCGGAACCATTACCAAAACTCATGAGGCATAGGAAAAAAGCAGGCATGAAAAGAACTAAAGCGAAGAGATGAAAGGAAAAAAGAGAGGAGAATATAAAGAAAGAGGAACCCACGATTTTCTCTCCTGTGCCTCTCTTTTTCTCTCACTTGAGGGTTCCATTTAATTTGGATCGGTTCCCTGATGCCAGAGGATTTTGATTAGGAATAAAGAGTGGTGAGTGGTGGGAAATTAAAGAGGTGAAAATTTCAAATTTTAAAGATATTTGAAATTTTGCAAAATTTTGGTGTTCCGCTTTCTTAATTTTTTTAATTATTTATAATTATACTATATATTTATGTAAGCGGTAGATAAAAAAAAAAAGTTTTAATGAAACATTTCCGGTACTGTTCATTTTTAATGAAAAATCATATTTTTACCTTTCTTGGTACTATTCACTACACCTTTATTTGTCATTTTTCATTAAAAGTAAAGTTTTTATTTAACTTTTAGTTAGTTTTCCTTAAAAAAAATGACATTGTTGATACTAAGTACTAGCCTTTCTGCATGTGCCTTGAAATTCCTCGAAACTGACGATATCATGCACGCGTCTCCTACCATCATCAATGAATAAGATCATCGTCCATCTTGGTTGTACCTTCTTCTCTCCAACAACATTAGAGGTTTTTAATTTCTTATGCAGTTATTTGAGTGTTATGCAGCAATTATATGGGTTGCAGAACCAAAACCGCTAAGTCTGCAACGTAGGTTCCTTCACGTTCGTGTTTTCTTTTTAGTTTATCTTTTATTTACTTTGCTTTCTGCTTTTGTTCTTTTATTTGGACATTTCTATCCTTTATCAATATTCCTAATAGTAAATCACGTGAGTTAAATTTTTTTGTTTTAGTGGCTTTATAGTCTAATTGTTTTTAGTGAAGTTTTGAGACACCAAACTTGACCTCTGACATTCTAATATTAGAGATATCTACAACGTGCAGCTATGCGTGTTGTCATTCACTATCATGTACAACAGGCTAAGATTTGTCCGTGATAAAAAATTCTCATTTTCAATTTCTTTTTTCTCTATCTACAACAGATCCTCACCAGACCATAACCAGCTACTCCACTTTTCTCATCTCTACCACCACTTAACCTCCTAAATTTCAAATTCAAGTAAGTTTTCTATGTTCATCTAAATTTATAATATAGGGTATTAAAATTGATGTGTATTGGATAAAAAAAATCATTATAGATTACAATTATTTCAAACCTATTATTATTGAGAAGAAATTCCCATCTTCACCACCACTTAATATCCTAATTTTCAACTTTAAGTAAATTCTTTATCTTAGTCAAAATTAATAATATAGGATATTAAAATTGATATGCATTGGATAAAATCATTACAGATTATAATTATTGCTAAGTTGTTATGATTATTGAGGCGAAATTTCTGAACTTTAATAATAATAAGTTGATCTTTTGTTTGACAAAGTATCGTCATTATTTATGTCCAACTTCATATTGATGTTAACAGATGAGACAAATGTAGCTCATGGGAGGTCACGACGTAATGCCCACAAAAATGACCATTTCAATAAGATAAGTAACGAATTGCTCATTCAATAGGCTAGTTTTAGTCCAAATGATTCTTTTGTAGTTTATGACAAAAACAGCTACTTTGTCTTATTTAATTGTATCCTAGAGATTTTACAAAGCAAAACCTATCATCATTTGAAGATCAACTTAATACTAATCATTCTATGTGTCTTTTTTTGTTTTCTTAACAAAATCATTCTATGCGTTTAAGAAGTGATTTTTTTTCTCAAATGCAAGGGATTAATGGTCTTGCTAAAAAAATAGTGGAAAAATGGTTGCATCGAGTTTTTCAATATGTGTATTTACTTATTGAATTAACTTTGGTTTTACCAGTTGCAATTGCTTAAGTGGAAAGAGCATTTTTGCCTTGAATCTTATTAAGTGTCTACTCTGTAACAAAATAATCAATGATTAAATGAAAGCTTAGTATTTTACATTAAGAAAGACGTTTTGTCTTGTATTGACAAAGAAACTATCATGCCACGTTTTCAGAATTTGAAACCTTTTCATGGACAAATTTAGTCTTTGGAGTTTGTAATGTTGTTGGTTCAAAGATTATGAATGAAAAGTTAATAGTTTATCGATTAATTTTTCAATGTTATTTTCATCTAATCTTTTTTAGAGTTTTTATATTGGAATCACCCGATGTTAGAATCCTAGATCCGTCAGTGCAGAGAAAATAATAGACACACGAGAAACGGATAAAACACAAAAAACCCTTGCCGCTTAGAGAACAATATTCAATAATAATATTTCCAGAAGCCCTTCTTTAACAAGTAATTATGGAAAATAAAATAAGCAACCTAATTCATTTCAAATTAAGAAATAATCCCTTGATTTGCCATGCATCACCATGTATAAATATAGAGTCCCTTCCCTACTATCATGGACATAATCCAATTGCCAATTACTATCATGGCTTCCAAGGGACCTGTCTGTCTCAGTTATGTATTTCTCAAGCCCGAAGAAGCAACTTTCATCGAGCTCATTCGCCTCCTCTTTTCCTCTGACATAGAAAAGAGAAAATTCATCACCTCCTCGGCAGTAAAAAAACTTGACTTCAAACGGAGGTTGATAATCTTCCTCTCTGCGGTGATTCAATGCATCCTCCTTCTCTTAAGAAAACCCATGGCTTGGCTTGGGGGTGTTCTGGAGAAGTGGCTAAATCTTGTATCAAGCAACGGTGGATTGCTCTTGCTCATCCTAAACTGGCTAAAAGGTTTGTCTCATAAATGTCGTTTATAATATTTGCAAACTCCCGATTAATTCCTTTGTTGTACGGCCCTTCGCCTTCGGGTGATGACAGACAATTCAGGTCCTGCAGCAAATGGAACATTCTTTGATCTTTATTAAGCTAATTCTAGCTCGTTACCTCGTATGCTTCACGAATCACGACGTAAGCTAACACCAACGTCTTTAACTCGAAATTTTAAACAAGGAAAATATACGTAACAAACTAATTAATGCGTTTGTAGAAGAAGACCGGATGAGCTAATATTTAAATATTTATCAGTTTATTGAACCAACCAATGCAGCCAAACTGGTGATCAGAACACCAAAATTAACCTAGTGGCAACACAATAATTACAGTAAATCATTATTCATTTTTTGGTCATTAATATAATTCTGCTGCTTAATTAGTTAAATGAGTAATTAAGGGGGCTGTGTGCAGGAAAGGTGGTGATACCAGAATCATCATCAACCAGATCCGTGCTTGGATTTCTTGACACACGAATTGAATTAGACGACAACATCAAACCTGACGACACAAGATATAACGGGTCGCTGTCCATGATGGCAGCCAAATTGTCGTACGAGAATGAAGAATTCATTGAAAAAGTTGTCAGTGAATACTGGAAGGTAAATTAATTAATTAGCACTATTATTAATTTGAAGTGTTAACAACAACAACTACTAATCGTTTTGGAATGCGCAGATGAAACTCGTGGCGTTCCACAAATTTTGGAATGGTACGGAACTACTTGAAATGTGGTTTTATGATTTTATTTCTTATAATTTGAGCGATTCTAATTTCGGTTCTTGTGATTCAAATAATAGGTTTTATAGTGTTTCTACGGCTAGGATCCCTATATCTACTAAAATTTTAATTTCTGATGATGGAAAGAAATCAAGGGAAAATTTGAAATAGATCAATCATGCATAAGTCTTTTTCCGGACAACAAATACGAAAAGAACTGCCACTAAATTAATAGTTAAATAACTAGTGAACGTAGCTATGAGCGATGTTTAGACCATAGTAAGCTACAAACCTATAATTTGGAAAATTGAAGGATGAGGACCCTAAACTACATGGCTAAAATCGACAAAATACGAGAACAAAATCATATATAGTTTAGCATTTTTTATCTTATTCTTATTGCATCTCATAAAAAACTTCCCGCAGGTTACGAGAAACAAGAATCAACCCAAGCCTTCGTGTTCCAAGACACAACATCTGACCCCAACTTGGTTTGGGTCGCATTTAGAGGCACTGAACCATTCAGCGCCGACGATTGGAGGACAGATTTTGACATCTCATGGTGCGAGTTTGCCGGAATCGGCAAGACCCACGGAGGCTTTATGAAAGCTCTCGGCATGCAAACAGAGAAAAGCTGGCCCCTCGAACCCGAAACACAAGATCATGAGTTTGCTTACTACAAAATCAGACAAATTCTGATGGATTTATTGCAAGAAAACAAGAATGCCAAATTTATATTGACAGGTCACAGCTTAGGAGGGGCACTGGCGGTGCTGTTTGCATCGGTGCTGGCAATGCATGACTTCGAGGATAAATATGCCTGGTTGATGGAGAGGTTGGAGGGGGTGTACACTTTTGGACAGCCGAGGGTGGGGGATGAGAAATTTGCGGGCTATGTAACGAAGAAGATGAAAAATTATGCTGTGAGGTATATGAGGTATGTTTATTCCAGTGACTTGGTGCCTAGGGTACCATTTGATGATACAACTCTATTGTTTAAGCACGTTGCTCCATGCCTTTATTTCAACAGCTTCTATAAAGGGAAGGTTACTCTCTCTCTCTCTCTCTCTCTCTCTCTCTCTCGTACTATTAGTAATTTAGTAATTTAGTACACACAAAGCAAATACGCTGGTTAACAATACGTAGATTTCATATCATTATTTGTAGGACAAACTTGTATTAAAGAATATAAATTTTATGTGTCTAAATAACATTTACCTAACTTGTTAAGCGATCATAATGTGAATGTAAGTATCAAACGTTTTTCTTATAATACTAGTGACGTAATCATTGAAACTATGAGATTTTCTCTTCTCGCAATACTATATATAGGCACACGATATAAAATGTGAATGATCAAAGGTTGTTGAACGTTGTATACATATGTATTGTATACTAAAGTTAGTAAACGAACACATGCATATATTAAAAAGTGCGTTCGTACGTTTCTTTCAAGTTTCATGCTATGACGACTAACAATGGTTACACATTGTGATTGGAACCAGGAGTTGGAGGAGGCACCCAACAAGAACTACTTCAATTTGCTTTTCTTCATACCGATGCGGTTAAATGCATCGTGGGAGCTGATTAGGAGTTTCATGCTCCCATTAATAAAGGGTTCAGAATACAAGGAAAGCTGCCTTATGATAATGACTAGGGTTTTTGGTTTAATATTTCCTGGATTGGTAGCTCATGCTCCTCAAGATTATGTCAATGTTACTCGATTGGGATCGATCCGTCCTACATGCCACTCTCAAAAGCTTACCTCCAGAAAATAAATCTAAAGTAGATTCAAGTTATGTCGATCTAGCTACTAATAATCCAACTGGACAAACGATACACTACTAAAAAAAAAGTTGCTTTCGCAGCAAAACTTCTCCTGGCAAACATGGTGTTTGCTGGGAAAGGTTGACAAACCAAATAAATTCGTTATGTTATATGCTATAGCCTATATACAACGTTATCTATTCTATGTATGATCTACGTTATGGAATAAATCATTCAAGAGTGATTTTATTTACCGATGACAGATATGAGTTTGAATTCATGGATCGTATGTTGGCCTAACAAAATCTTTCGATTTTCAAATTCTTCATACTCCAAACACAACATTGAATTGTATCGGAAACTTCAAATGCATGAAGTTGTAGATTTTTTTCCCTTGAGTTACCAAGACCAATCTTTTTTTGCCTTCCCAAATCGAGAGTATGAAAAATTTAGCCGTGAACCAAACTGCAAAAGGATTAGTTTTCCTCTCCCCCTCCATCGATCGATCCATCTGTGAACCAAACTAGGGTTATATTTTAAGGAGATGAAACTTAAGATGCAAGGCACGTAATTTTCAGTCATACAAATTCAATGCTTTTTGCATTTACTTAATCAGGATTTGAGCACCCAAATTACCTGCTTTTAATAAGTTAAGCATGCTCGAGACGAATCACTTACTAGTAGCGGAGCTCTCTAAACACCACTATTAAGTAACCCTCATGAACTTCTCTATGAACTTCTCAGTTCTGCTCGGTTACCAAGATCAAGAATTTTTCCTTACCAGAGATTATGAAGAACACGAGTGTTCGAAAATTAATTACTCGTTCACTTGATCGCAAAGGAAGCTGATTGCTCTTTGTTTTGAGAAAACTATATTGTAGAATATTGTTCCATTTGCACAACAAGGAGAAGCTTCATTGTTTGGAAACATAATCGAACATAATATACAATATGAAGCCTTTGATTTTCACACACAAGCATTATTAGTCCCTGAATCACCAAGGATCTTGCTCACTAGGTAGGGGGTACGGTCCTATTCATCTAATACTCAACTTCAGGTATTGGTGCCTCATGCCACTATAAAACTGTGTTGACGCTGATCCAGTGTCAAAATAGTAGCTGCGAACTGCTATACTCCATTCGTTTGTGTCCTGAGTTTACTTAGCCTGAAAGATATGGAAATTGCAAATTGGCATCAGAACGTAGTTTATGAATCACGGAAGGTTTCATGGCATTCGTTAAACGGATTTATTGAAACGATGCACATGCATGTAAACTAAATCGGAGAGGTTGTAGTTGCATCACTTCAGTATCTAGTTTGTCATTTCTAAAAGTTTTTAAACTACAATGGTTCGTGTTATGTTAAAGCACAATCACCATTCATGATTCATCATAAGAAACAACGCAGATTGAGGAGCTAATATTTGGAAGAAAAAAAGGTATACAATTTCGCAGAGACCAATTACCTTGCTTTATAGCTTGAGCGGAGCAACACGTGGCTGGATTAGGCATCAGAAAGTATGGCATGTAAAACAACCACTGAAAGAACCCATATGACGAGTTATTCGGATTGATAAAGCTTTACGTGAGGTCCTTGCAACTTGTGCTTGGTCAACTGAGCTTCTCATGTCTTGAGCTTTCTTCTGAGCCGATCTCAACTTGTTCATGATTTTATCCATTGATGACGATCGCTTTTTTTCAAGCTTCATCTGAACCAGATTGAAGTAAGGGCCAATAGTTGCAGAGCATATATACAAAAATGCATGTCTAATATGTGTGTGCGTGTGAGAGAGAGAGAGAGAGAGAGAGAGAGAGAGGGAGAGATAGTTGCAGAGCATATATACAAAAATGCATGTCTAATATGTGTGCGCGTGAGAGAGAGAGAGAGAGAGATGAGAAACCTCCAGTTTCCGTATTGCTGCCTCAGCTTTTGCCCTCTGCAGGTTCTCCCAAGCAGTGATTTTTGCTTCCTCTCTATTAACTCTGAAGAATAGACATGTATCAGCACACATTTTAGAATATTAGCTCATATAACAATATTCATTTCCTTAGAAATAAATAATGCACAATGAACAAATTGGGTGGCAAACGTACTTTGAAATGCTCTTTGACGTGTCAGAGAGATCCCAAGCAGCAGATTGAACGTCTGCATCTTTCTTTTTCCAACCATCACCAATAAGAGAACCCTTCCCAGGCCTCCGAGCTTTATGCTTCTTGGACCACCTTGTCATAGTGACCCGTTCATCTACCTGCACATCCCTGACTTCCGACTTTGAAGAAGCCGCACTCTGCACTTCCAAAATAGGCAGACCAGAGGAAGTGGAGGCAGAGTAAGAAGCCCGTGCCCTGGGAGATGAGTGAGCGCTATCTGGGCTCATCTGGGTTGCCATGTCCCTTCTTGAAACTGCCCGAGATACATTCGTAGCCGCATCCTTGACCCCATTAGGGCCATCAAACTTTTCATCTGGTGTAAATAAATCAATGTAAACAGACCATCCATGCATAAGTACACTAGTTCTAACAATTCTGAATCGATGCCATCCGTTGTTCAGAAAGTATATCTAAAAGCTTATCAATTAACACAATCCAAACATGGTTATTAAACCACCTTCATTAATTGCTCATTTATTCGACAATCTAGTGATTGTTATAAAATCACTCAGCCCAATTAAGAAACTGACGTCCAATTAGCAAATTAAACACTAACCTTGAGAGTCAGGCAATGAAGACTGCTGCTCCAGCACCTCAGAGCAACCATGAACGCTAACCGAACGAGCAATGCATGGCTCTGCTCGCGTCGTAAAGCTGCCATTTTCGGCACCGGACTGGAACCCCAACCCATCAGCTGATATAACAGCAGCCGAAAACGGAGAAGCAGCCATGAAATTACTCACATTGGTCCCATCAAACATTGGCATTGCCGGCGAGTACAATGAGTAATACGCAACCCCAGGAGGCCCGAGCGGACCACTCTTCGACTTGGGCCGCCTCTGGGTTTGCTGATAAGCTGGCCTCACCACGCCATCCCCCTGAACCGGACTCAAAATCCATCTCTCAGCATCTTCCCACTTAGACGGCAATGTCCTCCCGTTATTAAAGGGCAACATCGCAGCCGTCGTATTCTTCCGACCCACATTGGTATGCGACGGGACTCGCTCCGAGCTCCAACCCTTCTGAACTCCGAGACTCGCGTGCCGGTAACTCGGTGTGCCGGGACTGGGGAAGTTACCCGATTTCCGAGACGCCATTGAACCCTTCTTTATCGCGCCTAATCTCGGCGAGGACACAGAGGCATTGTTGTTCAAGTCCAACGAGGCGGGTCTCGGCCGGTCTAACTTCTTCGATAAAGCTTCAGATCTGGACCGCCGGTCCTGGCATTCTATACAAACAAACAAAAAACCCAAAAGCTTAAAGCTGAGAACTTTGATTGGTTAGGACCGGATTGGACTGGATTGGACATGACTGGACTAATTTGGACCGGGATTTTACCTTTGAGGGCGAGAGAGAAGGAGCTTCTGGCGGAATCGAGGACGAAATCCGAGTCGGAGTCCTCCTTTTGAACTGCGAGAGCTCGAAGCAGCCAAAAGCAACAGTGAGAGTTTGAAAATTGAAAAGGTGAGGGAAAAAAGCGACGTCGTTTCTGAGCTGTAAATACCTTTGGCTTTTTCGCCCTTTCCGGAGAGACGACGAGTGTGCTGAAAAGCGTGGATTCTGTTCGGATCCGGATCGCGATCTGGACCACTCGAGCTTTCCTCGTGGCGGCGATCGCGTGGGGCCGAGTTCTGCTGCATCCAAATCAACACATCAACAATTCGACCGTCAATTAATCAAGCATGCAATCGGAAAATGCAGATTCATTTCGGTACCGGAGAGATCTCGGAGGCGGTGGAGTCGTCGTGGTCGAAGGAGCAGAGGTCGACGCTGGCGGAGGCGGAGGAGAAGAGGCTGAAGTTCGACTCTAAGGCGAAGATTACGGAGTCAGGGCTCGGGTCGCGGACTCGGAAACCCGGTCTCTGCTCCTGCATTTTTCAGAATACCAAATTTGCAGAGTTCGTTGAAGATCCCGCTGAGAGTAACGGAGGGAGTGTGAAATGGCGGGTATTATACGATTAAGTCACTCTCATTAAGCAAACCTAATCACGCTTAAGATTTTGTTTAACGAATCCAAAAGACAGCAGTGTTTAATTAAAGGGGATTAATTATAATTTTTGCTCCTTTTAATGCTGGGTCGTGATTAGCTTTGACTAAGATAAAATAACAGTGGTCTTTTTTCTTTACGAACAATAAGTTATTTAAATTGTTAAATTTTAAAACGAAGAATAATCGGTAGGATTAAACTTGTATTAGAGTGCATAAGTAATATTATTTTCTTTTACGGTAAAGCACTCTATGCAAATGACAAAAATGACAGTGGGGCCCATGTATCATGTGGCAGGAGCTGGGTCCCGATTTGGAGTTTGGACTTTTGGTGACAAGGATTTGAATTTTTGATGATAATATTGACAAATCAATGAGTTTTCGACGAATTTTTTTACAATGAATTATGATTTATAAGTTTTTGTCGCGTGTGATAATGTTCTATGATTTAAGAGTGGATCTTGCGCTATAAATTAACGCGACTAATTGATTTTATGTTAGATGTTCATATTTTTTCATAATATTAGAATTAGCAACATATCAGCATTGTAAGTTTCGTTAAAACGTGTATTTAATATCATCTCAGTTAAGTTACTTTCCTACCCATGTTAAAAGTGTGAACATAATATTATTTAGCTTGCTTGACTCATCTTCACACACATGTTAATATGATAAGTCAATTTATTGGCCAGATTTTAAATAGATAGTGATATTTGCACATCCATTTTTACTTCTTATATATTTACTCTCAATTTTTTATTGTAAAATTAAATGAATTTAAAAAGATCAATAATAATAAATTAACGAAAATGCCTAAAATGTAAAAATTGGTGTGTGAATGATACTTTTTGTCCTCGACAGATATCGAAAGATCCTTCGTCTAAATTTTTAGATTGATATTTTTCAGATGCTAACGATATAGAATGAGTTTTTGATATTTAATTTTTTAGTCGTTAATTGTAATTTTTAGTCAAATCAATCACTAGTTGTTTGAAAGATAGATAAGTGATGACTTGCCATATTACATCACTCTCGTTCAAGGATGAAGCCACCTTGGGGGCGCGGGGGTTGAGGGCACAGTCTTGTTTTTTGAAAAATGTACATATTGCAAATAAAGTAAACGTGATGCATATTCAGCCATATATTTTATAAATACTCGATTGATAGATCGGATAGAAGATAAATGCATGAATGATAATGTGATTATTTTTATAGACAGAGAGATATTTGATGGTATTAGTAATGAAGTTGTCATGCAACGCTTTCAAAATATGCCAAGGGTTATTGTAATATGTTTTATGAAAAATCTTATGGAATACGTAAGTGTTTTGTCTGGTAAATTCTTGAGCTTTTTAATTTATAACTTTGTTTGTTTGAGGATGCTCCCATTTACACAGATCTATTGCTTCGTCCCTGTCGTTGATTCTCAACTTGAGTGCGCTCATGTTAAAGCATACATGTGCTACTAATCATCTTTTTGTTTTTCTTCTTTTGTTGGAAGGAACTACCAGTCATCTTTGGTGGTTTTTTTATGTAGAATCATCTTTTGGTGGTTAGAATATGTTGGGAGGGAAGTGTTTTAACTTAAAGGTAACTTTGAAATTGAAAAGTTAAAGAAAGGATCGAGAGTTTTTAAGGTAAAAATATAACTACTCAAAAGTAAATCGTAAATGTGTTTTGCATAAAATGCAATGAGAAATTCAGTCAAACAGAGAAAAAATCGGGAGAAATAAGATTTTGGATTGTAGAGGAGTTTACTCGGTAGCAATAGGTATGCTAATGCCACTATTCTAAACTTATAACGCCATGTTCTGTTTTTTAACTTTTTTACAGAATAATGTTTTATCGAAACATTTTGTACTAACGTATTCGGTGTAGATAAATGATTTTGTTCATGGAACCGGATCTCTTCCGGATCCCAATAATATGAGCTTAAAGATCCATGCCGTTGAAATTTGATCTAACAGTTACAAACAGGGGTCCCTTTAAAAGTTATAATAATTGTAACCATTAGATCAAATTTCAACGGCTCAGATTATTGGGATCCGGATAGGTTACTGTTCCTTTGTTCATACACTAGATCCACGTTACTTGTGATAGTCCTATTCAAAATCTGACATGTGTTCGTATTTTGTATAATTGGAAATGAACTAGTATTACTTTTTAAATTTGAAGTTAAAATTGTGAAAATTTAAGAAAATGTAACAGAGAAGAAGAACAATATTTGGCTATTAAAAAAATGAGTAGGAATTCCTACTCAAAACTCTTAGTGTTTTAATCATAGAGTTTCGTGCTTATGATTAGAACCGTTCATACTATGAATCACACTGTAAAGATCATCTCTGCAAAAAAAATAAATTAAAACTAAGGTCGTTTAGTCAATCTATTGTAATAAATACATATACGGTTTGTAATGCTTTTACCAATATCATTAATTTGTTTTTAAATAGTTTGATGACTAAATAACCTTAGTTTTAATTGATATTTTGCAAAGACTGACTTTATAAGATGATTTATAATATGAACGATTCTGATTATAATCACGAAGTTTTATAAATTGAAAACGTACAATTTTGAGTAGGAGTTCCTACTCATCTTTAAGTAGCCAAGTATTATTCAGAGAAAAAATTCATATTTCAATTCCAAAAACCACCAGATCCCCTCCAACCTCAATTCCAGAAACCACCTATGCCACGAACTCAAGTAAATCCATGAGAAAATTGAGCCATAAAAGAGGGAAAGATTGGGAATATTAGTTTACAAAAAAAAAAAAAATTAGGAATATTTTGACTATCGATAAGTTCGTCGGGCCATCATTATGTCCGGCTCATGGCAATGGCAACAACATAAACGGCTAAACTCGTGCCGCTTAAACCGGTTTTATGCAGCTCAAATCGCATTATAATAAATTCCCTATATTCTCCACTACCACTAGTGTTTTAATTGGAAACTTTTAAATCTGACTCGAGAATTAAGTATTCTGATCTCTGTATTTAATTCACTCAAATTTAATTAGTTCTTGATTTGTTTACGGAGTAACGGAGATGACACTTTACATCAATAATAAAAAACAATTATACCTACTCACTCTAATGCTGATTTGATCCTCACCGATACCCCTCGCTCTTACACTAACACTTATCTTTTGTCACCCAAAAAAAAAAAAAATTATCAACCTTGATTTGTCAAGAATTGCTATACTTCCATTACATTGGTCAACACGACCGACCTAGAGTTTACAGGACGGCCACTATATAGCGCCGGTAATCCCGGTTTTGTAACCGGGTCGTAAAAACAAAGTTTTCTTGCTGTAAAAGTAAATATTTCAATCAGAACCCAATTCATTGATACATGCCTATTGCTTACCACGACTTTTAATTGCACAAGACCAGCTTACAGGACTCTACAATATTACAAAGCTGAGACTTTGTCTTCGGAGCCAACACATGGTTTTGGGGAGGGTAAGATGTATGCAACCGCACCTGTTTCCGGACAAACTGTTTCTACTACTCGAAACCGCAACTGTTGAATCGTGTTTCACAAGTCATTACGTTACGTTAAGGTGCTGCTCAAAACCTCACCACCTGATGAATAGAGCTACATTATCTTCATCTACTGGCCATGTCACTGAAGTAAGCAGTTATCCCCTTCAACTTGCCATTTAAGAAGTTTTTCTCAACCTGAGATCAAATAATACCCCAACAGTCAGAGATAAAGAGTACAATACTCCGTTTGGTTATGCATAAAAACTGATGCAATGTACTTTCAGAAAAGAAGTTAACAATGTTCTAAACAGCAATACTGGTGGGATTCTAGGTCGATGATTCCCTCAAGGCAGTGCTATCCTTTGGTGGGAAGTGGGGAGGACAAGAAACTTGATGGCGTTATAGACTGAAAAGGGAAATGATAAACACACCCCTTCTCCCCTCCTACACACCCCTATTTAATTATGTCCGTTATCTCCATTTAATTGGTTTAATTAATCCAAAAGCCAGGAATAAAGAGGCATGTGTGAGAGGCTAAAATGAGTGCAAAAATCAGCTCCCCATTGAAAAAAACAAATATAAGAAAGTACCTCTAGTGACCATGGCCGAGACCCCGATAGAGCGATCTCTGCTAATTGGTTGATATCAACATTTCTTGGGAGAAACATGACAATCCTAGAAGCAACTTCCTTTGCGATGTTAAAGAGAAAATATCTGCACAATTAATCGACCGAGTTACATTGAGCCAGAGAGAATGAGATAAACTAATATGATTACCAACTCCAAAAGTTAAAAGAAAAAACATAGGAAAAGAGGAGGAAAACACACCCATCATGTGGCTTAAGCATTGTCTTCATGTCGTATGTCTCTTACTTTTGCATAACCAGGTCCTCCCCACGGGGGTGACAAAAAGACCGTGTCTGCCTGAAGTCAAGGAAAATTTGAGAACTGAAGAAATTTGGAAAAAGCATGGGAAATAAACCATAGGTCCAAAGCACAAGGTTTAGTACAGCATAACTGAAAGCATTTTGCAGTGCCCAAACCATACAAACTACGAAATTGAAAAACTGTGAACACATAGGAAGTCAGTTTTAGTTACCTTCAGCTTTGGTGCCAAGCGAAAAAAGTCCCCCGTTATGAAATCTATCCTGTCATCAACCCCATAGATGGCAGCATTACGCTGTGCATAATCAATCTTCGTTGGATCAATATCAATTGCAATTACATGTTTGCTTCTGCAACATCGCATGTATAAGAAAATGATGAAATTAGGATTTCATCCCTAACTAGCCTATAACTTTGACTGAAACCTTATAAATCTGAAAATCTTGATTGAAGGACACTAAACGTTGTCCATATCACCATGCATTTGGAAATGAAATTGCATGTCATATTTTCAGCTTTTTTTAATAGTTTCTGTTTTCCTATTTTATCTTTTGTTGTTTTAAAGGAAAAATAGTAAAAATTGTATGAGAGGTTACTCACATCTGTGCTAATTGGATGGAATTCCCACCAACTCCAGTAAAACAGTCAATGATGACATCACTACCACATCGTTCTGCATGATGCCTAGCTAGAAGCTCTGGAGTGACAGAGAACCATCCTTCCTCATCCATTTTTATACCATCATCGTATTTGGAGAATAATAAGTACCGTTGACACCAATATTTTCCCATATCAGCAGAAAACTCTTTGAACAACTCTTCAAATAGAAGCTCTGCTATATGAGGATTGGTCATCAGAAAGGATGTAACTAGGATAAAGAAATTAAAAATGCACTAATATCAGCAATAAAATTAAGCCTTTAACCTTTGTTCTCATTAGATAACTTTCCCTGAATTTTCTTTCTTCTCACTTTCTTCTTCCGTTTTTGTACAGCAGGGTCAAGCTGTATTTCCAACTGGTTTGTTGCCAAAACTTCATTTCCTGAATACATATTACTATCCTCAGACACTTCATCAATGTATGTATGGGACAAGCTGCGAACAAAAAATTAGTAGACAAAAGCTCATATCAGTTTTAGAAAAACAAAGCTGAAACAGACCAATCAAGACCGTTATTCTGAATTTTACCTGCTTGTATTTAATATTTGAAATGCGTCAAAATCTTCGCAATCTTTGAGAGTTTCCTCACAAAAATTAGGTTCATTAGGCTCATTATTGAGTTCAATAGTACTTTTGTTCATCAATCTGTTCAGCAAGAATTGGTTGCAAACCACTGTTGCAGAAATCATCAGAAATCAACTGCTTGATTTTGTTTCTGATACTGTGGGCAACATGCAATGAAAACTGCTTGATTTTGTTTCTGATACTGTGGGCAACATGCAATGAAAGCAAAGTCTCAGGATAATCATAAAGTAATATCATACGCATAAATTAGATTCGTGAATCTCAACAGCAAAATGAAAAAAAATAGAAAGAAGATAAATATACCTAGCGATATGATCCTGGACATCTGAGAAGAAGCATGATGGGTTCCCATCGTTGCAGGTGTTATTGTTCTCATTGATTTCATCTGACTGTACCGGACATCTGCTTACAGTGACAGTTGACAAAGTGGTATCAGACATAGAAGTGTCAACAGAAAGTTCAATCCCCCCGGAGATCTCATGATTTGGCTGACACTGTGAAACACCATGAGTAATTGATTCTTGAAATGAATCAGTTTTACTCGCACCACAAAAATTTGTTGCCTTTGAATCAGTGCTAACATCAATCTCCATTACTTCAGAAATCACATCATTTGGTTTACATATGGCGTCAATAGATGCTAAATATTCCATGCCTGGGGGTGGATACCATGTGGAAGTATGTGTTTTGATATTATAGAAGTAATTTCTCATGTAGTAAGAATCCCAATATACCATCCAGTCTCCGGAATCACCGTTGTCTTGGCAGTCAGTTCCATCAGGGTCAAGCACTTCTGAACACATGGAATATGAAATTGACTCAGAAACACATCGCGGTTCAGGGATATAGTTCCTCGCATGTTTTGGTAAGTTCTGCTTCGTGGGAAGCCACTGAATGAACACTCTAAGCGGTCATGCTCCGTCAAATTTTCACCGGATTCTGTCTCATCATTGCCAACAGCAGCATCTGCTGAGCAGCTTTCAGGGCAACGTCCAGCATCTAAATCAGTTGAGCTCACCGCAATTCTCATTATGTCATTGAGCACATGGCCCCTGTGTAAAGGGTCACAACCCTGAGCATCATTACAAACGACGGCCAATATTCCATCACGATCTTGTTCTTCGACAGCATCACCAGTAATCTCAGTTGAATTTTCTGGATTATCACCTTCAACAGAAGGGCACTGAAATTCAACAGGCACCCGCTGCAACATCAGAGGAAGATGATTCACTTTGGCCCATCATTGGCATAACAACACAAAGAACTGCTTGTGCTACCATTGAAATATCATAGGAGAAACAACATCTCCCTCACTCACTTTGGAAGGCTCCATTGCTCCACGTACAACGTCCAGAGAACTGTCTGTTTGCTTCAGGCGCATTCCCTCTTCTTCTACCTTCCGTCTTTCTGTTCCTCTTCTGCAAATTGGTATCAGCATCAAGTTATCAACACACCACAAAAAAAAAAAAAATAACTTTATGCTTCTGAATGTGATGGTAAATGTGAATGTCAAAGAATGAAAGGAGCAGTAATTCTATCTCCAACTGAAATGCCATCATTCTACATATACCGACGCACACGGAAATGTATAAGACGGATGTTAAGTTACCTCCTTATTAGTGTTGAATGAGACTGGAAGCCCCAAGGCATTCATCTGGTCAGTAAGCTCCATATCCTCCGGCAAAGTCCCACATTCTTAAACCCCGAAATTCCCCACTAAAATCGTTAATACCACCAAATACAAATAACTTAACTATAGCTATAAACACATAACAAAAAAAATAATGAAATCGAATTACCAACCATCGCCGCCGTCGCCAGCTGGTTTCTGAAATTACACGGCGAAATCCAAAGCATTCAGTATTAAGGTCTCAAATTTTCAAAAGAAAAGTGCGATTGAGCTAAAAAATCAAAAGACTTACAGGCCGGCCCATGGAAAAGGACCTGTCCTTTCGTCTCCTTTGAGCCGTCGTCGCCTGTCCAAGCACACACAGAGAGCAAAGTCAGTGCCCTAATATTTGATAGGGGAGAGAGAGATGGAGAGACGAACAGGAGAAAGACTTCGGTGAGCTTGAAGATAGAGCCGAGAGCTCTCATGGCTGGACCTTGCTCTTCCAGTTCGGCCATAGTCACCATGGCCGCTCAACTGCTTCAAATTAATCGCCACCTCGATTTTTAGCAACGCCGAAATGTCAACAATGCAAAAGCTTAGGAACTAAGCAAACTAGGGAGAGAAAGAAGAGAAGGAAAGGTTGCGAAGATACCATAGGAACTAAGCAAACGAGAGAGAGAAAGAAGAGAGGGAAAGGTCGTTCGAACTGAATATTCTCTTTCTATTCAACTTGTATAAAATAATTACAACTATTGATATTTATACATTAGTGAGACACCTCTTTACTAATGCACTACCAATAACACATAGACACTTGTCATAATCCTATGCACTCATAATCTTATCAACTCTATCATCCCCCCGCAAGCTCATGCGACAAACTGCCAAGCATGAGGTTGGAGCAATTCCGAGTAAACCGACGTGAACACAAGCTTTTAGTAAACATGTCTGCATACTGATATGTAGAGGTAACAAATTGCAATCACAATGAAGAACTGGGACATTCGAACACTTCGCATGCAAATCGTGAAGAAGTTGTTGTATCCAGATAACCTCAGCAGTGGTTGTAGCCATTGCCCGATATTCAGCATCAATGGAAGACCTACTATGTGTGTGTTGTTTTTTAGAACTCCAAGAGATGGGACTATCACCCAGAAAAATGACAAACCCTATAGTTGAACGGCCATCATTGGGATCCTCTGCCCAATCAACATCTGTGTATGCTTTTAATTGAGAAGAACCTGATGTAAAACATAATCCCAAATGCATAGTACCTTGGAGATATCGCACAATACGTTTCGCAGCAGCAAAATGAGTTTCTAAGGGTGAATGCATAAACTGACACACTTGATTAACTAAGAAAAAAATTTCTGGTCTCGTAAATGTAAGATACTGTAAGGCCCCAACAATACTTTTGTAAGTGCTGGGATCAGAAACAAGGTCACTACCATGATTCATAAGCTTTTGATTAGGATTACAAGGTGTAAGACAAGGTTTACAGTCAAACATGTGCATCTTTTGGAGCAATTCTTTAACATACTTGGCTTGGTGAACAATGAGACCTTGATCTTGATACTCAATTTGTAAACCAAGAAAAAAAAATGCAAGAGACTCAAGTCTTTCATTTCAAACTCTTTGGTTAATTGAGAAATAATACTTTGAACCTTCACATCATCACTGCCAGTTAGGATTATATCGTCAACATATAGTAGCAGTTCAATGACTAAAGAACCATCACACTTGACAAAAAGATAAGGATCTGCATATGAGGACTTGAACCTTAACTTCAGTAAAAAAACCTGCAAAACCTTTCATTCCAAGCTCTGGGAACCTGTTTAAGACCATACAAAGATCACTCCAATTTGCACACATAATCTAAACAACTCGAATCCATAAACCTTTGAGGTTGAGACATATACATTTCTTCCTCAAGAAAATGATGCAAGAAAACATTCTTGACATCTAGTTGTTTAAGCTTCCAGTTATGAGATACACCTAAGGCCAGAACCAATCTAAATGTGGTTGGTTTAACCACATGACTAAAAGTTTCATAGTAATCGAGACTAGCCTCTTATGAGTACCTCTTGGCTATAAGCCGAGCTTTGTACCTAGCCACTGAACTATCCGGAATTTTCTTAATCTTGTAAATCCATTTGCAACCAACAAGGTTTTTGTCAGGTGGTAAAGGAACAAGCTTCCAAGTTTGTTAGTGAACTAGAGCATCCATTTCTTCTTTCATGAGCCACTGAGTAAACTTGACTGCAGTAGAAAAAGATTGAGGTTCCATGAGTGCAGACTCCTTATATATTTAAACAGAGAACACCTTCTTTTTAACAATTCCAGACTTAGACCTGGTTTGCATTAGATGTGTTCTGTGAAGTAATACACACTGGTTGCAGATCATTAACTTTAGACACTATAGTATTTGGATGAACTTCGAAATATACAGTAGGTAAGATCTCTGAAGAAGAACCAACACTTGTGGATGAAGGAACAAGATCACTAGAATGATTGTGTGGAAAAGATGTAGATTGAGTAACATGCTGAGTTTGAGATGTAAAAGTAGTGGAATGTGGTGAACCAAGAAAAGGAAAAGTTTTTGGAACACTAGTGGTATGAATGAATGTATTAGGATGCACATGTAGAGAAACAGAATGACCAGACATATTTCTGGAAATGTAAGACAAGTTATCAAATAATGTATGAAATCGGGATTCATAAAAAACTACATGTCTATACACCAACAGCTTATGATTTTTGAGAGAAAAACGTATATATACTTTGTATTGTGCATCATACCCCAGAAAGATACATTCAGTAGTCTTCGGGTCAAGTTTATTGGTTATGTAGAGTTTTAGAGAAAGATAACACAAACAACCAAATGTTCTCAAGTGTGCAAAGCTAAGGTGGGGAATGATGTAACATTTCAAAGGGAGACTTCATATGTAGGACATGTGTATGCATCTTGTTTATTAAAAAAATAGTAGTAGCACATGCATGAAACCAGAACTTTGAAGGTAAAGAGGCTTGTTGTAAAAGGGTGATAGCGGTTTCTACAACATGTCTATTTTTTCTCTCAGCCAACCCGTTTTGTTATGGGGTATAAAGACATGATTTTTTATGAACAATGCCTTTGGTAAGGAGAAATTGTTTAAACCGAGTACTAATATATTCCCCACCACCATCACTTTGCAGTATTTTCACATGAGCAGCAAAGGAATTTGAGACAAAAGCAAGAAAGTTGACAAAAACATCGAACACTGCAGCTTTATTATTTAATGGAAAAATCCAAGTATACCTTGTACATTCATCTATAAATAAGACATAGTACATGTAACCTTCTATAGACATACTAGGTGAGGTACCCCAAACATTAGTGTGAATCACTTCAAAAGAAGTACTAGACTTTGAAGCAATTATAGGAAAATGTAATTTTGTAAACTTGCCTTGCAAACAAGCTTTACATGTACGAGGAGGATAATTACAAGGAAAAGAGATATGAGATTTACTAAGTGATGCAGTAACTATTGACTGTGCAGGATGTCCTAACTTGCAATGCCACAATGCAGAAGTAACCTTTTGACCTACATATGCAACTGGAGAAGATAATGGGAAATAGACCTCGGTTGATTAAGTATGGGAAAAGGATAGACAACATTCTTACTCAGTCTTTGGAATAGCATTCTCCTGTATAAAGAGAGAAACATCATTAATTACACACTGACACTTATTATCTTTGCGCAACTGATTAATGGGTAGCAAGTGTTGAGACAATTTTGGAACATGCAACACATAATTCAACTTAAACTCATGTGACTTAGTGGAAAGAGAAGACGAACCAATGTGTTTGATAACTAAACCTTAACCACTAGCACTGGTCATTGATCATTTGACGGATAAGCAAGTTGTCATGTGTAAATTTGATAAGTCTGAAGTCATATGATTGGTTGCCCCAGAATCAAGCAGCCATAAATCTTGCTGAAGTACTGAGACAGTTTGTGCTTGTATAGCAAGAAGAGTATATGACTTATTCATATAAGATTGATGCATCTAAGACATGGCAAAATGTTGAAATTGTGAATTTTAATACCACTGAACCATGCCTTGCGTAGATCCAAATTGATTCCACACAGGAGCTTGACCATATTGTCCATGAGGCATGAGACCAGACATAGGTGTAGAAAAAACTGGAGAAGAATGTCCTGGAAATCCTAAAGAATTCTTGTTCCTGTCAAAGCACGTAGCAGCAACATGACCAATTTTGTGACATATTTTGACACCCGTGTTGAAAATAGTTCAATGCAGAATGGCCTTTGCGATCACAAATTTAACATATCTAATTTGGATTATAAGGTTGAGATAATGACTTGTGTACCATTATGCTGAGAAGTATTGAATACATCATAAACCGGAGACTGAGAAAGACCTCATTGAGGATAAAACTGAGTATTAAACCCATTATGTTGGCCTCCAGAATTATTGCCACAAAACTTCTTCCCTTTTCCTTTGCCTTTGTAATTGCTACCCATAAAGTTGTTGTATGAACCAGAACCAAGTTGAGTGGCAAAAGCCATGAGGACATTAGTCATATATAATATAGGTAATTGGTGAAAACCTTGAGGCACCTGTTGAAAACCTGGGAGTGACATAGATGATAATGGCATAAACAACAATGAAGTATTAGGAGGACCAATAAAGCCTTGAGGCATTGGTGAAACATAATTTGTTCATGAGGAACCACCATGATCAAAACTAGATCCAGAAGCTTGAGTGAACATGGTAGACATTAAAGAAATTTGTTTAGTAGTTTCATCCAGAGTAGTTTCTTCTGCCTTTAATTGAGATCGCAATTCTTTGAGTGAAACAAGATTCTCCCTTCCACATATGACTGCTTTAATTGTATAATACTCACTTGGTAAGCCTCGCAAAGCAACAATTACAATATCCTCATCAGAAATTGTTACACCAGCAACAACTAATTGATCTCTGGACTCCTTAATCTTCTGAAGATATGGATCAACAGATTCAGGGTCTTTCTTAATGTTCTGTAGATCAATCTTGAGTTGAACAATACTTGTTCGAGTAACACTAGAAAACTGTTATCTAAGATTCATCCACATTTCTTTGGAACTCTTACAGCCAATAATGCACGACAAAGCAGAAGGAGCAAATGTAGCAGAAATCAGAGTCATTAAAGCCTTGTCATGAATCTTCCATACTTTGTACACATCCGAGATAGGGTGATTGTTATCAACTGTTTCTTCTCAGAATCAGAGTGCTCAAACTTATCAGGACATGGAACATAACCATTAACAAAACCAACAATTCCATTTCCTTCCAATAACAAATCCATTTGAAAATTCCATGTTACATAGTTGGAGTAATCAAGTTTCACCGTGACAGTATTCCTAACACTCGGAGTTAATGACGAAATAGGAAACTGTGTAAAAGCTAATTGAACAGAAGTCACCATAGTGTGCAACAATTTGTATGTAATACTTCAACAACCTTAAGACAATTTTAATACGCAAGAACAACACACAAACTCAATGGAATACACCACCACCAACAACAACAAGCTAGGAATTGCATAAATCAACAATCTTGTGAATACGAAACAAGAAACCCTAAAATCCTAGGGTTACAGATTACCAGGAAATCGGAAAAATCCAGCAATTCAACACGCAGATCTAAAAGAATCGAAAGAATCAACAGAAC